CATTACAAGTTGATTTGTTTTTAATAAATATGAATTCTTTGAACTACATTCTTCAACCTGGTTTTTTAGACTATTTTAATAATTCAAGTTTTAGATGCTTTAATGCGTACTTGTATTATAAAATAATATTTAATATTTTAAAATATTTCTAAATTAATTCTTAATAGCAAAATATCCATGATACTATATATAAATACAGAATATTACGTAAAACTAGTGATGCGTTCGAATGGTTGATAGATTCAATTTGCGTGCGATTAGTCCATTCATAAAAATTGAACATTGTCCTCACGCTGGTATCTACGTATTTTAAATTATTATAAAAATTTCAGCAATCTCGTTTTGGTCTGTTAAATTTATGATTATGGTGATGTAATACTTATAGCTACTTATAATAATATTAATGACTAGTAATTATATTAAAATACAAGTTTTATGCAACTTAAATTCATAAATACTTCTTGTTATCTTATGTAAAACAATAATTTTGCAAATAAACTCCTTTTGTTTAAATTTTTTCTTTTGTTATTATAAACAAATCAAAAGCAAAATTAAACTGCATTATATATTAATTTTTAATAATCAAATCATGTATTTCACTATCTATAGAATAAAGTTAACTATTAATCCAGTATTAATCAAATAAATTTACCAAAAAAAATAAGTTTATATTACATACCTTGATAATATGAAGTGGTATAATGATTGAATTTACTTGTATACATTGTTTTAGAATATACTGGAAATTTCATACTTTCAATATCTTTTAATATTTTTTCTGATTCTGATAATTCTAATAAAATCTTCTTATTACTTTGCCATTCTGTAAAAATTTCATAAATATTTACTGCTGAAGGATGTTTTTCTAGATTTTTATTCCAACACATTTTCATGAGATTTATATAACGTTGTGGTGAATTTTCGATAATAATTGGGCGTAAGTCACTATTACATATTTCCACTTGAAGTTGAGATCCAAATTTTTGATTGTAAAAAACAGATTTTCCATATAAAATTTTCCACATAATTATTCCAAATGAATAAATATCAGATGCTGTAGTATATTTTTCTCCACTTAAAATTTCTGGTGCAATATATGGCAAAATTCCATAGACTCCTTTAGATTCAGACTCTAATGCTATATTGGACGATATTGAAAGCCCTAAGTCTGCAATATATGCACTATGTAAATTAGCTTGCAAAATATTACCACTATGTAAATCTCAATGAATTATATTTTTCGAATGAATTGTCTGAAGGTCTGAGATAATACAAAGTAATAACGTTAATTTATCTTCCCATTTCATTCATGCTACATTGTGAAGATTGTCTCGCAAAGAGCCCTTTGGAGCATATTCCATAACAAGAATGTAATCTTGAGAGATATTATGTTTAGATATTCCTAAACATTTTAAGAATAATGGGTTTTCATAACCAATATCGCAATATGCTTTTAGCTTTAATATTAAACGATAAATATTTATAAAATGTAAACAATTAGTATATAAAGTTTGTTAAACAGTTAAAATAATTTACCTCTATTATAAATCCTTTGTAATATTCTTTTGATTTATGTAATAATTTAATTGCAACCTCAATTATAGTGTTTTGATTTTAATCAACCCACTTAGCATAGTATACAGTTGCAAATCCACCCTCTCCTATTTTCCTAATATTTTTAAATTCATTATAGGGAATCTATGATAATTGATATTTATTTCCATTAATTATTTCTTTTAAGTCATCTTTAATGTCAGAATATTCTTGTTTACCTTTGTTTTTAACTAAAAATCTAAGTCTTAAATTACAAATATTTGGTAATTATAAATTAAATAATAATTGGAATCACCTGATAATTGATATAATTGATCCTTTTCCCTAATTTATTAAAAAGTTTGTAAGTTATTATTTATAAAAAAAAATTATTTTATTCAATAATATAGCTTATTTACTTTTGAAACCAATAATTGGCCTGTTGTAAATCTACTGTTACTCCAATTCCATTTCGATAACAATTAGCAACATTTCCGATTGCAAGTATATTACCCATATCAGCAGATTTTTGAAAGTGAATGAATGTCTTATATTCATCCTTTTTAACCCCAATTCCATTTTCATAACAACTACCGAGTGTATTTATTCCATCAAAATAACCCAAATCAACAGATTTTCGATAATAAATAAATGCTTTATATTCATTTTTTTCAACTCCAATTCCATCTTTATAACAGAAGCCAAGCGCATATGTTCCATTAACATTGTCCATATCAGCAGATTTTTGATAATAAATAAATGCCTTATGTTCATCCTTTTCAGCTCCAATTCCATTTTCATAACAGAAGCCAACCGCAGACATTTCACTAGCATCACCCATATCAGCAGATTTTTGATAATGAACGAATGCCTTATGTTCATCCTTTTCAACCCCGATTCTTTTTTCATAACAATATCCAATACCAAATGTTCCACCAGCATCACCCATATTAGCAAATTTTTGAAAATAAATGAATGCCTTATGTTCATCCTTTTCAACACCAATTCTATCTTGATAACAATATTCAACATTACATGTTCCATTAGCGTTTCCCATCTCTGCGGATTTTTGAAAATAAATGAATGCCTTATGTTCATCCTTTTCAACACCAATTCCATCTCGATAACAATATCCAACATTACATGTTCCATTAGCATTCCCCATCTCTGCAGATTTTTGATAATAAATGAATGCCTTATATTCATCCTTTTCAACCCCGATCCCTTTTTTATAACAATATCCAATACCAAATGTTCCACCACCATCACCCATATCAGCAGATTTTTGAAAATAAATGAATGCCTTATGTTCATCCTTTTCAACACCAATTCTATCTCGATAACAATATCCAACATTACATGTTCCATTAGCATTCTCCATCTCTGCAGATTTTTGATAATAAATGAATGCCTTATATTCATTTTTTCCAACCCCGATCCCTTTTTCATAACAATAACCGACATCAGTTATTCCACCAGCATTACCCATATCAGCAGATTTTTGAAAATAAAAAAATGCCTTATGTTCATCCTTTTCAACACCAATTCTATCTCGATAACAATATCCAACATTATGTGTTCCGCTAGCATCACCCATATTAGCAGACTTGTGATAATAAATAAATGCCTTATGTTCATCCTTTTCAATCCCAATTCCTTTTTCATAACAATAACCAACATTGTATATTCCTTTATCATAATTCATATCAGCAGATTTTTGATAATAAATAAATGCCTTATATTCATTCTTTTTAACTCCAATTCCTCCGCTATAACAATAACCGAGTCTGAATGTTCCTTCAGCATCACCTATATCTGCAGATTTTTGATAATAAATGAATGCTTTATGTTCATCCTTTTCAACTCCAATACCTTTTTCATAACAATATCCCACACCAACTATTCCATCAACGTTACTTATATTTGCAGATTTTTGACAATGAATAAATCCTTTATGTTCATTTTTTTCAACTCCAATTCCATAAAGATAACAATAACCAACATTGTATATTCCAATAGCATCACTCATATTTGCAGATTTTTGAAAATAAATGAATGCCTTATGTTCATCCTTTTAAATACCAATTCCTTCTTCATAACTAAGTCCAACACTATTTGTTCTACTCGTGTGCCCTATCTTAGCAGATTTTCGATAATAAATGAATGCCTTATGTTCATCTTTTTCAATTCCAATTCCTTTTTCATAACAACATCCAACATTTTTCATTCCGTTAGCATCACCCATATCAGCAGATTTTTGATAATAAATAAATGCCTTCTGTTCATCTTTTTCAATTCTAATTCCTTTTTCATAACAATAACCAACACCGTCTATTCCATCAGCATTACCCATATCAGCAGATTTTTGATAATAAATAAATGCCTTATGTTCATCCTTTTCAATTCCAATTCCTTCACGATAACAATAACCAACACCAGCTATTCCACCAGCATTACCTATATCGGCAGATTTTTGATAATAAATGAATGCCTTATGTTCATCCTTTTCAACTCCAATTCCATTTTCATAACAATAACCAACATTGCATGTCCTGTTAGCATTACCCATGTCATCAGATTTCTGATAATAAAAGAATGCCTTATGTTTATTTTTTTCAACTCCAATTCCATCTTCATAACATATGCCAACTGCATACATTCCACTAGCATCACCCATGTTGGCAGATTTTTGATAATAAATAAATTCTTTATGTTTATCCTTTTCAACTCCAATTCCATAACAATAAATGTATCCAAGGTTATTAAAGTCTACAATAGGTAATGTGTTATGATGAAACAGATAATTATAATTTTTTTTACTTTTAAATATATGAAGAAACGAACTTAGAATCTGCATTTTTTTTTTTTAAAAACCCCTTCCAAGATAGCAATTATCTGGGGACGTAATTCGAATCTGCATTTTAAATGCATAGTTTTATTATGAGTAACATCAGGTTACAAAATAATGCGACAGAAAAATCTTTTCAGATCCACAACTCTGTGTCTATCTTTTTTTTTATTTTATTCGCAAATGGTATCCTTTTTAATACTTACTGTATATATTTTGTAATAAATATTAAAAATAGTAAATCTTGTATAACCATGATGGAAATAGTAGCCCCCTATATTTTAATTGTTTTTTTTTGATTTGCTGTAATTCTAATTTTGAATAAGAAATTACGTGGTACATAGGCACAACCCGGATGCATCTATGCACACACCTAGCTGTTATTAAATAGTTGTAATGTGGGCCAGACAATCCTTACTTGATATATTGCACATAACAATGTTTAATTGAACTAGCAATTCGTTTAATTTTATAAAGATTAGAACAACTATTTAAATAACAGTATATACAATCTGCTAATTTATAGTAATCTAAATTGTTAACTATTAAAATGCATTAACTCAATATTCTCAAAAATTGAATCGTCTATATACATAAAAAAAGCCATAATAGCATTGTATTATCGCTTCTTATTACCCTTTGGTGTTCCTATTGTTACAAATATCTGCTTAATACCATAAACAGTACCCTTATTTGGCTTTTTGGAATGTCTAGACTTGTATTGATAAAATAGCATTCTAACTATTTTAATAACAGCAGCAGTCTTAAATATTACCAATTTTCATATAAATCAAATATTCAAACTAAATCAAGTAAAAATAAAAAAAAATAGCAAACATACCCACAGTTCTAACAACAATTGCATCAGTTCATAAACTTGCTCAGGCTTGCTTTGAAACAGTGGAATCTCAACTTGACGCATCTTAACAAAATGATAATATTCTTCTTTGGTTTTAGAAAAAACATGAATTGATAAATACTGCCCTAATAGAAAATAACAAATAAGAAATCTTATGTAAAGAAAACATTAAGCTTCCTATCACTTGCCTTTAATGTTGAGACAAAAGATCTTTGTCAATTCATCATATCCATATTTTTTTACATTCCCATTGATGGAAAAATCCTCAAAGGCATCTTTAGCACTATGCACCAATT